AGATGAGCTGCTCTTCCTCTCACAGCAAACTCCAACTCCTCTTGGCCTGCATTACATGAGGTGCACTCAGTGTGTCCTTTAGCAAAATAACACGGAAATTGGGGTAAGAGGAGACTCTCCTCACTCCCGCAGTGGATTTCCTCCCCTTCCCCCGAAGTCCACATAGGGTATCTGCGGCCGTAGCCTTCTCACAAGCCAGGCCACGGGCCCAACCCAAACTCATACCATAGAGAGTCATAGAGAGTCATAGAGAGTCAGCACTGTGGACACTGGCAGCAGAACGACTGCAATTCATCCCGGGCCTTATACAGATACCGGGGCTTCCTGAAAGCGCCATCCCTGCCTAAGGAAATTCCTTGAGCTCAAGCCAGCAAAGGGAGGTAGAGGCTGACTCCAGGTTTTAAAACTGGATTTACAAGAAATGTCCCATCCAACTCTTTCAAATCTACTCTCAAAATTTCCTCCTATTCTTCTTGTATATCTCCTCATGTAATAAGATCAAGAACACTTCCTTCTCTGTGTGGCAGCTTTTAATATTTAAAAGCAGCAGTTCTTTTTTTCTAAGCCTCCAATTCCCTGGGCTAAATATATCTAATACTTCTATGTATTATTCCTGCTGGATGGTTCACAACTCTTGACCTCTCAGAATGGCCTGCTGGAGACCTCCTCAGATTGCCAATGGCCACTTGAGGCCCCAGGAAGTGACCCCACAGCTAGAGCTAGGGTGTGGCCCTAGGCTTGGGAAAAGAACTTCCTGACTCTGGGCTGCATTTCCCTTCCTTAGGAGCTGGGTTGCCCATTGGCTCCCTTTGATTTATTTTTGCAAACAAGCTGGTGTTTCTATTTATGTTTTCCCCACATGCTGAACTTGAACAACAGATTTTTTTAAACCTAAATGTAAAATTTCATATTGATTATTATGCAAACTCATCTTAATCCCTTCAAAAGCAAATTGTAGCCAAGTTCAACATGCTCCTTTACTGTCTTACTTACTTTTCTCATTGCTAAGACAAAATACCCAAAACCCAAAGTTAAAGGAAGAAAGGTCTATGAGCTAAATAGCTCATGTTTTGTAGAGGTTTCAGTCCATAATTAGCTGGCTCCAAGGCAAGGAGGCCTGGCAGAGAGGCATTGAAGAGGACAAATGGTTCACAGCTAGCAGAAGGTAGCAAAATGAACAAGGGATGACCACAGCTCTTTCTATTCCTTATATCTTATCCAGGCTGCTTAGGGTGGGTAGCATTCACGCCCTTGATCCTAGCACTCTTGATCTCAGCGTTGCACCATGAATCAATCCCAGCACCACACACTCTAGATCAACCTCTGAAAAAGCCCATCTATGACCACATGAGGCTTTGGGGAGACATCTAGACACAAGCTATAACACTTATCAATGGTATTATCTTTTTCATTTCATATTATTTTTAAACCTGAAAAAATCTTTAGACATTTGTCCAAGAAAAATGCTGGAAAAAATCCTGCCAGAAGCAGGAAAAAACACTATTAAAGTGAACTCTCAAAAAAAAAAAAAGAAAAAACACCAACTGAAGAAGCACCCTGCCAAGCTAATCACCAACAAATTCTAAGCAGATGGCTTGGAAATTAGAGAAAAGAGGATGGGATCATCATCAGTCAACCAGCTGGTTAAATTAACCAGCTATACAAGCACCAAGTAGGACTCTATCTGACCAACATAGATATAATGGCAGGCCTTGTCAAATGCTTTCTGGCAATCAGATCATTTCAAGGATCGGTCTCCTGGCTTTAAAAACTAAAATCCTTCAAAAATAGCAAAGGATTTTTTTTACAATGCATCCTAATTTGTAGTGATCACACAATTTTAAGAATGTCCACCACTCATCAGTTTCATGTTCAAGTCCAGTGAGAGTACATTGCTCCTAAACCCATTGATTGATTCAAAAGTGGGCATGGGAGCCAAGCTAGAAAATCAGTCAATCCAGAAACCTCTGCTGGAATAGTTTAGAAAGAATCTTTTTTCCATGGAAATTGCTAACTTGGAGAATACAAACATCATACGAGAATCTGCCTGAGAAAGAAGTCAATAGGGAAGTGGGCAGAAAAATAGGACATGTAACTATCAAGTCCTTATGATGTTGTCAGGCATTCTGATCTAAATATGCCTGAAAATAGGACCTCATTGAAATTTTCAATTATAGAAGCCAGTAATTTCCCCTTTCTGCTAACCTCTAACTTTTTAAACTTCACATCTTATATTAGTGAGTTTTCCATCACCATCATGAAACACCTGAGACAAATTATACAAGAGAAAAGTTTTTATTTCAGAGCTGGGGATCAAGCCCAGGGCCTTCTGCATGCAAGGCAAGTGTTCAACCTTTGAGCTACACCCACAGCCTAAAGAGTAAAACTATATTTTGGGCCATGGTTTGGAAACTTCTGGTCCAGGATTAAGTCCTCCATGCTTTGGGTCTTTGGCAAGGACAGCATATCAAGAAGGGATTTTATAGAGCAAAACCATTCACCTCATGAAATTTTCCATGCCACATGAACAGGGAAGGGGAGGGAAGAGGGAGGGAAGAGGGAAGAAAGAAAACCATATCCCACTGCACGTTTTCAGTATAGGATATTGTTTTCTGGTTAGCTGTCATAGAAACAGGGGCTCTGGGACATTCTAAATACAAAGCTGGACCTTATTTAGTAATAAAGGGGGCGAAAGTGTCCAGTGCACATTTAGTTTGTCCATCCAGTATACTTCTCTTAAAGGAATTATGCCTCTTTTCGTCCATATAGTTTAATGGGGCTGTCAATCATTGTAAAGTTCCTCCACTCAAACACTTCCTCTGTAGAAATGGTCATGTGACTCAGGAGGCCAATCAGAGTCTTCCTTGGGCATTTTGTATAGATGTATAAAAGAAGATTTTTTAAACTATAAGGCTAGCTTATGGGGTTTCTGGGAACCATCTTCATAGCCTCTTGGAATAGACCTACAGAAAAAAGTGAATATGAAATACATGGCAAGGAGGAACAGAGTGAGAGTTAGAGAAGAGGCCCCATCATCTGGGGCCTTAGGTCTGTTTAAAATTTGAACTTCTGTATCTTCCATTTTCATGACCTTGCAGTTAGTTGTCTGTCACATAGGGCCCAAAGAGTCCTCTGGCTCTTTCCAAATGGATTGGATTTTGTGCTCAAAGCATTTATGTCAATATCCTAATACCTGGAACCCCCAAATGTGACGCTTATTTGGAAAAAAGTGCATTTGCCGGTGTGATTAAAGATCATAAGATCAGAACACCTTGAGCTACTGGATGCCAACTAGGTCTACCAGCATGTATATCTGTAGGAGACACTTGGGGTGTGGCCACTTAGGAAGATGGAGGCAGAAATTGGAGTTATACAGCACCCAGGCCAGGAATAACAACCAGAAGCTAGAAGAGGTGAAGAACAGGACCTCCCCTAGTCCCTGCAGAGCTCTGCCAAAACCTTGACTTCTAACCTCAAAATCAGAGAGAATTGATTTCTCCTGGTTGAAGCCACCAAGGTCACGACAACAACCTTAAGACACAAGTATATTGCTCTACTTTTGTATCAATGGAGAGATAACCAAGAAGAGACATTTGGGCCCCCATGTCCTCAACTACACTAACAGACACCATGAATTACTCCAGAGTGCCAGCCGGCACCAAACCAGAGTGGGGGCCTAGTCCGGGTTTACCTGCCTTATTCTTGGCTTAAGATTTGTTATCTCACCTCAAACATTTAAATGTTTATTCTTCCATTTTTATTTTTTGCTAGTGTATGTTTACATCACATAATGTTTGCATACCTTGTGGGGGTTGGTATACGGACATAAAATAACTCAGTTCTTTTCTTCATCCCCTTTCCCTTCTCTCCCTCTTACCTTCCTCCATATTTTGATCCATCTGATGAAAATCTATCTCGCTACTTCGCATTATCTATCTTTTATTTTATTCTTTACTTATATTTTGGGTTTTTTCACATAAAGGAAACTATGCAATATTTTAGCTTGTATATCTGATTTATTTCACTTAACATTATGGGCTTAAGGTGCGTGCATTTTTCTACAAATGACTCAAAGTTATCTTTTTATGGCAAAGTAGTATGCCATTGTGTATATATATGCCACAAGTTCTTAACCCATTCATCTGCAGTGGACATATAGGCTTCTTCCAAGATTTAGCTATCATGAATTGTACAGATATAAATATGGATATTCATGTATCACTGTAATATGATACCTTTACCTCTTTCAGGAAGACATCCAGAAGGGGAATAGCTGGGTAAAATGAAATTTCTAGTTTTAGTTTTCTTAGGGGTCACCATACTGATTTCATAGTGATTGCACTGGTTTGCCTTCTTACCAGCAATGTAGAAAGGTTCCTTTTCCCCATAGCCTCACCAGCATTTATTAGTATTTGATTTCTTGAAGATAGTCATTCTTTGTTAAGTGAGATGGAATCTCAACATTTTTTAAACTTGCATTTCTCTAGCATCCAGTGATGTTGAGCACTTCTTCAAGTATTTATTGGCCATTTGTACATCTTCTGAGAAATGTCTATTCATTTCACTTACTCATCATGTGATCAGGTCTTTTATTTTGGAGGGTTTAATTTTTTTGAGTTCTTTATATATTCTAGATATTAGTCCTCTGAGGAATAGCTGGCAAAGTATTTTTTTTCCCATTTTACAGGTTGTTTCTTCACTCTGTTTCCTTTGTTGTACAGAAGTCTTTTCCTTTAACAGGATTTCATCTGTTGAGTCTTGGTACTATTTCTTGTGCCATTGGGGTTTTATGCAGAAAGTCCTTGCCCATGTCTATACAAGTTTTACCTATTTTATCTTCCAGCATATTGTTTCTGTTTTAACATTTAGATCTTTGATACATTTTTATTTTAGTCTGAAGCTCCCTTAAAAATAGATTTCTGATGAGTCCATTCCACATCTCTCTCTTCTCTCTCTCTCTCTCTCTCTCTCTCTCTCTCTCTCTCTCTCTCACACACACACACACACACACACACACACACACACCCTATGTTATGCCACATTATACATTTTTGCCATAGGATGTTAACAGCTCAAGATCAGAGTTACCTGGAAAAAGATTTGAATACATTAGCTAACTCCTGCGAGATGGAGGACAAAAATTGTTTTGCATTTCCAAACCCCAACTTTTTCAATTGCAATTTGTAGATTCCCAATTCCCACACTATTATAAAGATTAGACAGTGTATGCAAAGCTCAGAGCAGGAACCTAGTTCACAATGTACTTACTCAGGAAGTATAAACTATGGTAGGTTGCTATACTCAGCTTTGGGTTTGCTCAACTACTGAGCAGCAATGCTCAGGGAAGATGTTCCCAGCCTCGTGGATATGAATCAAGATCTACGAAGGTTAGTTTAGAAGTGGGTATAGAACCTAGTTTCATCCACTGACATGAAAGGGAAAATCGTTTGGGATTTTGGCAAGAGTGAGCCCTCAACGAGAAAGAAAACTGATAAAAAAAAAAAAAATAGGCACACACAGACAGGCCCACTCATACTTTGTATGGGGTTTTATTTTTGTTTTGTTTGTTTTTTGGCCATGCTGGGGATTGAACCCAGGGCCTCATGAGTGTTAAAAAAAGTTCTACCTCTGAGCTACATCTTCTAGTCCCTACTTCATGTTTTTGGACCTTGTGATGTGAAGATACAGTAATCAGGATGCTCGCATCCATCTTGTGACCATGAGGCAAAATCTCAGAGAGTCTCAGTAAATAGGCATGACCAATGTCAACAAACTGCTGAGGAGTCAGCAAATGTGGACCCCCAATTCTTGTGACAGGTGTGATAATAAACTCCAACTGCCAATGCTTCCTTTGCAATTGAAAACCTCCTTACATGCTGTTCCTGCGAGTGACACACTATTTTTAGACTAATGAACGTACCTTAAAGTGGTTCTAAATGAGCTATAACTCTCTTTTCAATGTAGAAGCCAAGTTTCATCCTCAGGGTTCTGTCTTCCATTGTAACATGTCCATGTCAGTTGGGTATAAACAGCTTTAATCCCTCTAAAATCTTTCTCCCTATAAATCTCAACACACAGGAGATCAATTTCTGCTGTGGAAACACTTTTCACATTGCAATCCAAGCACGGCATATGCTCCATCTGGGGACTAAGTGAGCAAGAGAGCAAAATTTCTAAAACTGTGTGCTGAGTCAGACAGAGTTAGGATCTTGGTAATCGGGATGCTGGAACCTGTTTATCTAGGCAATGAGATTTGTCTCTTTGCCTTTTAGTCTCCCCTGCATTAATTCTCCTGCAGAGGCCAGATTCCTCCTTCTTCCACTTGGCAGCAGGCAGACCTCCCTGAAAGTAAGTCTGGACCTCAGAGGGACAAATAATTTAAAGGAGATGAGGGGAAACCCCTGTTCTTCGGAGCATCAGTTCTGTCTGCTGCCTAAGGAAGTCACATGGGTTCTCTCTCCCTGTGCTCTAGGAAAGACAGACGAGAATGTTCTATGAGGGCAAGAGGGAGCCCTCAACGACGAGGTGGAGCATTAAGAGAGTGTAGATTAAAGGGCGCTTCTGACAGGGCATGTGTCTTCCTGTTCTCATCTTTCTCCTCTTTCTCAGCTTCTCCACCCGTCCTCATTCCTAAACCTCACCTCTCCACTTGGGTCTGTATTTCTACTCTTAGCCCGTCGAGGCTATTCTGTACACCACAGGCAGAGAGACTCCTGAAAACCAGAAATCATCCAAAACAGTCTTGTCACTCCCTCACTCCGTGTGTTTCTGTGTTTCCCCTCTTGCTTGGAATGAGCTATAAAGTTGGACCACACAGCCCTGGCCTCCCACGTGTTTCTCAAGTCCCCAGTTGTCCTTCCCAGGTGACACACAGCTGGCTCCTTCAACCCAGCTTGGCCCTTGTCTCAATTACCGCCTTTTTGGAAAAACAGTCCCTGACAGAAAATGGAACTCTGGCCAGTTTCTGGACTTCTACTTTAAAGTTCTTGAAGTCACATTTTTGGTGGTATAATTTACACCCAGTAATGCCCACCCATTGGAGGTGTGTAGTTTTCTAAGTGTTGGCCTATGCGTACAGTTACACACCATCACCACAGTCAACAGAGAGTGTTTTCAGTTCACCGGAAGTTCCCTTGCTACTTTTGTAGCGATTCCCCTCTAAGTCCTCCACACTCAGTCTTTGGAAACCACGAATCTGAGCTCTGTCTCTCAACTTTTGCCTCTTCCAGAACGTCACAGAGATAGGATCATACAGTGTGTAGCCATTTATGAGTCACTTCTTTCATTCAGCTTAATGTTTTTGAGATTCATCTGTGTTGGTGTCTCTATGATTCTGCCCACTTAGAGTTGGGTCCTGGTCCATGGTAGGCAGATAACATCATGTGTTTCACCATTCACCTATGGAAAGAAATTGGGTTTTAGAAGTTTTGGTTTCATTTCCAAAATAAAACTGCTATGAATACTTGTGCATAGGTTGTGCAGTCACATAGCTTCATTTTTATAGGAGAAATGTCTGAACGTATATTGCCAGGTCATCAGGGAAGTTTGTTCAGTTTTTTAAAAATAGTCAAACTGTACTACAGAGTTCCTATACTATTTTACATATTAATTTTGATGAAGGCCAGTTTATTAATATTTTATCTATTGATTATTAACCCCAGGTCACAAAGATTTTCTCCTATGTTTCCTCTAAAAGTTTTATAATTTTATATTTTTTATTTAGATCTATGATCCATTTGGAGTTTTGGGGTATAAGATGTGATACTTAGGAAGAGGTTTTGTTTGTCTGCGGATGCCCAGTTGTGGCAACACCATTTGTTCTTTATTTCTCCATTGAATTGCCTTTGAGTCTTTCTCAAAAATCAACTGGCCATCCCAGCAAGTTAGTTTGTGGAGACTGACAAACTGATTCTAAGGCTTATACAGAGAGGCAAAATATCTATGACACCCAACCCAATAACAAAGGATGGAAACAAAGTCGGAAGACTGGTCTACCTAACTTTAAGAATTTCTATAAATCTACAATAATCAAGCATGGTGATGTTGGTGAAGGAATACTATAAACAGATCATTAAAACAAAATAAGAACCTAAAAAGAGACCCCATAAATTTAGTCGGCTGATCTTTGACAAAGGAAGAAGGTACCACAATGCAGAAAAGGAAGACTGTTGATAATGGTGCTGGAACACCCAGACATTCATACGAAAAGGAATAAATCTAGAAATAGAACTTACATCTTTCAAAAATAGTAAATCAAGTAGATTATAGAAATAAATGCAAAGCTAAAACCTCCAAGACAATAACATAAACTTAGTGAATTTGGATCCTGCCTTTGCCACTCAGATCTGTGTATCCTTGGGCACATTGATTAACCTCTTTGAGTTTCAATCAACTCTTTTTCAAAGTGGAGGTGATGATAAGACCTTCCTGACAAGGGTCAAGGTAAGTCGTAATGTGCACAAGGTTCCTAGCAGAGACTCAACACTTAACAGGTCAAAGATGTAATAGCAATAATAGTAGGTTCCTTACTGAATCTGGTGGTAATCTCTTCTACAATCAGAGAAATGTCTGAACTGAAAATAAATCGGAAAACACAAGAAGGTAATATGCCTAGCTGCTCACAACTGTGTGATATTTCAAAAATATAAAATTCTTTTTCAGTTGGGCCCAGATAAGAGAACAAAAGTCATCGTAAATAACCTGGGCTGACTCAATCACTGATAATTATATCTTCTCCTGGGACCTGTTGAGCAATGTGTAGCAACTTGATCCTCACCCAACTTGATCCTCTCTGCAGTACAGCATCAGACACTGGCCAGAGCAACTGCTGCCTGCCTGCAGAGGAAGGAACATGGAGGCAGAGAGGGAAAAGGTGCAAAAGCTCAGCCCCAAGACCCTCAACAGGGGTGATTGTTTTCCTCACATGAATACTGAAGAAGTGTTGGAAATAGAAACCAAGTTGTATTAGTCATCACTGGAACAAAACACCTGACACCCACAATTTAAAAGAGGAAGACTTAATTTGGCTTATGGTGTCAGGGTTTCAGTCCATAGTCAGCTAGCTCCAAGGCAGAAATAGCCTGATAGAAAGGCCCTGTGGAATAAATCTGCTCACCCCAGGGAGCCAGGAAGAACAGAAGGAGATCAGTGTCAGAGAAGAATGGGTGAGGGACCTTATATAGTACCCAAGGTCATGCCTCCCTGACCCACCCAGGCATAGCAGGGGTGTGCATTACTATTTTGCTAGACTTTTCTTAATTCAATGAAGTTGACAAATCAGGATACTGGTCACACAAATATTTGATCAGTATTCTAGAGAGAGAATCCTGGAGACAGGGAAGCCCCTTCCACAACAGGGCTTTGTGATGCATCAAGCATGGCTCCACCTTGATGTTCTGCTCAGGAAAACTCAGAGGTCATGCCAAGCTCCTTAACTATGCACTGCTGCCACTTGCAATCATGGGTCACCCCTTCCTGGCCCAGGCCCTCACTGGCTGTTCCTCCGAGTCTTTGGTGTCAAACTTGTATGCACTTAAACTTGCCACATCCCAGTCAGCATAAGCAAAGCCAATAACAGAGGGTATGTCGGGTGGTTATTGCACCTTTTGGTTGGGCAGAGACACCAAGATGACTTCTCTGAATAAATCTGACCCTAATGTAACTACTCTTTCCCATGAGCAAAAATGCAACTAAAAGTCAACATCATAACAGGCCTTTTTAATTTCATAGGGTGTTTGTTTTCCCTCTGAGGCTAAGCAACACATTTTTATTTTGCTGTGTTATACACAGATGATGAAAAGTAAAAAATTAGGGGTAGCTTGAGGTTTCTGTGGAAAATGGGGCTTTCTCCCATCCCAAGAGTGGGTTGTACCCCAGGCTTGACATTTATGTTCTTGGAGTGTGAAACTAGCACTTGGGGAAATTATTGTCTGTTTGTTGACAAGCCTGGCTTCTAGGCTTTGGAAGTATTTGTTGTGTGGAGTGAGCAGATTTGCTCCTCATGCCCTGGGACACAGGGCTGAGGCTGCTGTGGACCTGTTTCTGCTGTTTTTGAACAAAGATCACCATATAGTGATTTGAACAAGTCTCTCTATGAATGCACACCTGTTAGACCAAGCTCCTGGGGGCCCATGTCAATATCTTCAGGTAAGATGTGTTTTGCTTTGTGTCATACACACCTTTCCCTTGGCAGTAACTTCTGACTCTATGCAGGAACATTTGACTCTGGCTCACACAGGAAATTTTAAATAAAGGTATTGGGCAAAAGCATTTTGAAGGATCTTGTAAGTGAAAGGTGTCAAAATCAAAATGGAATTGCTCATGTCAAGTCCTAACCAAAAGATAAAATAAAATTGGGAGGTTGGAAAGCAGGGGAACTCATGTACTTAAGTGTGATCACAAAAGACTCTGCCATGACCACAACTTTGTACAAAGGCCATCACAACCTAACCTAAGGAATATTTGCGCAAGGGTGTCTGGCCAATAACTGTATGCTGTAATTTGGACTGGTGTTACTCCTGTTACTGATCATTGAACACCTTTGTTATATTAAACACTGTGGTCCAGGACTATTGTTTCAAAATAACATATGCAATTCTCCTCATTTTACCTTTAAAATTTCCATTGGCCCTGACTTTGAATATAGTCATGGTTTCCTCAACGTGCATATTGATCAACTCGGTGCTCCCTGGTTACTCCCAGATAAATATCGTTCTCTAGAGAGTCTGTATGTGATGTAGAGGTTGACATATACAGTTTGGTTACTTTTTCCTTTATGTTTTAATATGATATACATTCCATCACATCTAGGTCTATGACCTTCAATCGTTCCTTATTGCCCTCATCAAAATTTTCAGATTTTTTTTAAAGCAATGGAATGCCCTTTCCTCAAATGAAATTTCATCCAGGACCCCAATATATAAAACAGAGGTAGAGTTTAAACTAAGCTCTTCATAAGACACAGACAGAGACTGGGGCCTCGACCTAGTTGAACTTCGCATAAGCTCTACTGCGCAAGGAGGAAACACATATAAAGATGAAAATCTTAAGTTCAGCCTGTTGCTTCCACGTTTAAATGGTTAGAAAACCAGCTAGCGAGGAGCAAGAGAAGGGATGTTCAGTACCTTTCTGGTCACAGAGTCCCCTGCACCCTCTCCTGCAGAAGTGCAGGCACCCAGCACACAATGATCCTTCAGTAAGCCATGTCCTCACTTCCAGGTTTGGGCCTCCTGTGGAGAGGTGGAGGGGTCTGGACACATGTGCACATCTGCACAAGCAGAGAGAAAGTTGAGCTTCCCAGAGCATGTGCTCTGCTTCTTCCTTCTGGAGAAATCCTTCTGGGCCTCCCATGAGGAAGGGAAGCAGGCCTGCTGTCTGTAGGAAATGTGCTCTTCATAAAACCCACCTGCCTGTCAAAGGAAAACACAACCAGCCCCTTGTACAAGGGGGTAAGAACCGCTCACACTGAAGTTGAGATTCTGTTAAAACAAAGCATTTCCTTCGCCATGTGGCACATTGGAACCCATTACGCTCTCTGTGAAAGACAAGATGCCTCCCTCTGCGTGAGGGCCTGGCTGCAAGCCCATGGCAAGGCCTCCACAGCCACTTATCCTCAGTGAGAGTCCTCTCGCCTGTGAAACAAGGGTTAGGCCTGAACTCAGAGTCTCCAGTTACAGAACACGGGGTGCAGGCTGCAAACCCCATCCCCATAAAGCATTTGGCTTTTAGACTGTCAGGAAATGAGCTCACGTTACGGAACTGGGAAACTGAAAGGAACCAGGCTGTTCCTCAGCGGGAATCCTCACGAGTACAGGCATGGTGCTTGGTCATCTCTGTAACAGCCTAACAGGTGATTACCCTGTAGCAACTAATGATCTAATCAAATGCTGGCCTAGTGGCTGCTAGATGCTTGGAAGACATGATTAACATTTACAATCAGCTGACTTTCAAAAAAAACACACTTATAGTGGACCTTATCTAATCAGTTGAAGGACTTAAGGCAAAAACTAAGGTTTTCCACTCTTAGCCAAACCCTGAGCCCCTACAACTGCATAAAGTAGTGCCCTGAGATAAATCTGTGTGTGTGTGTGTGTGTGTGTGTGTGTGTGTGTGTGTGTGTGTGTGTATCTACATACTAAATATATGCCACCACCCTCACTCTCTGTGGAGGATTAGTTCCAGGACCCTCCGCAGAGACCAAAGCCTTCAGGTGCTCCAGTTATTTATATAAAGGGGTGTAGGTTATTTGCCTATAACTTGGGCACATTCTCCTGTATACTTTAAATCATCTCTAGATTACTTACAATACCAAATGCAATGCAAATAGTTGTTCCTGAGTGTTGCTTAGGGATCAATGACAAGAAAATGTTTGCACATGTTCAGTACAGACATAATTTTTAAAGAATTTTTGATCCACAGTTGGCTGAATCCACAGGTGTAGAATAGGCCAACTGTAAAAACATTTGTTGTCTTAGTTACTTTTCTGTCATTGCTGGGACAAAAATACCAGATGTCCAAAATTAAGGAAGGAAAGGTTTATTTAGCTCACCGTTTGTGGAGGTTTCAGTCGATAATCAGCTGGCTCCAAGGCAGAGTGGTGTGAGAGGGCAACAGTTAATGGCAGCTGAAGAGAGCAAAAGCAACAAGAGCAAGAGGGTGAAGCGAGCCTCTTTTTCCCCCTTAAATTGTATGCAGGTTACCCGCCCTAGTGCGGGTGTACCACTCACACCCCCAATCCTTGCACTACACACTGAACCAACCACAAACTCTAGATTCAGCTGCCTCCAAAAAGCCCACCCTCCCCACATGAAGCTTTGGGAGGATTTCCAGACACCAACCATAACATTTATTCATTTATCTATTGTCCGTCTGTCTGTTCATTTGCCTGTCTACCTGGCCATCCATCCTAGTGGTTCTGTTTCCATGAAGAACCTTGACCTACACCAGGACTCTTCATGGTACATTGTCCTGGATAATATTATTCCTAAGAAACAGACAAGACCAGAGTCCAACTCTCCTTCAACTTATACTTCATTCCATGTCCTTCCCACCAGGACACATAGTTCTTCAACTTACTGTGCCACAACCTCAAAGCCTATTAGAAAATGAGCTTCAGTTTCTAAAAGAACAGAGAGATTGTTCCAGCTGGGCAGCAATCTTCACACTGGCTCCTAGAGCTGAATCCATGTTAGGTTACATTGCAGCACAGAGATACCTTTAGCATGTGATGAAACAAAAACCTCCTGAAAGTGTATTTTTTGATCAGTTTTATTTTATTCTATTTTGACTTCATTTAAAGAAAATGCTAGCTATAGACATTAAACTGCCCATGGGAGCCCAAGTTGCTTATGGTAGCAGTGCCTATAACACCATGATTTCAGTCACAGCGAAGGGGTAATATTCCATGTGAGCTCAGTCTAGGATCACTTACAACACCACCACCCTCCATGAATGTTGTACACAACGTTGTACTTCAAGCCCCAGAACCTTGCAGTAGCCTCTCACACAAGTTCAGCCTGGAAATGTGGGAGAGCTGACTTCCCCAGAAGCAGTCCTCAGCCAGTGGAGAGAACATTGGCTGGATAGGTGACTGCCTTAAGTCTATTTGTGTTACTATAATGGCATACATGAGGTTTATTTAACTCACAGTCCTTATAAAGAAGAGGTTTATTTAACTCACAGTCCTAAAAGTCCTAGAGCATGTTGTGAGCCTCTGCTCAGTTCTAGTGAGGGCCTCCTCATGGTAGCATCACATGGTACGAGCACCTGAAAGACAGGCAAGCAGAGGTTTGTGAAAGAGATCACAAGACACAAAGGGAAGCAAGAGAGTAGGGCAGGGCCAGGTTCACTCTTAGCTTTTCTTTTGGAGACAGGGTCTCACCAGGCAGTTCAGGTTGGTCTTGAACTCACTCGGTAGCTCACAGTGGCCTCAAAGTTGTGTTAATCCTCCTACCTGTCTCCTGAGTGCTGGGATTACAGGCGTGCACCACCAGGTTCTTATGTCAGGTTCACTCTTCAATGATGTTATGGTTTAGATCTATAGTCTACCCCCAAAGTTGAATGTGTTCAGAAGAGGGGCTCTTGGGATGTGATTGAATCATGTGGATATTGTGCTCATCAGGACATTAATTAATTGGTGAGTTCATGGCTGAATGTGCAACATATTAGGAAGCGTGGCCTACTCAGGAGAGGGGGGTCACTGATGGGTGACCTGGAAGGGTGTATTCTTGTCTCTGGCTCCTCTATTTTCTCTCTGCTTCTGGCTTCCATGAGGTGAATAGCTTTCCTCCCCCATACCCTTTGGCCAGGACGTTTGTGCCTTGCATCTGCAGGGATGATGAGATTTGCTACTGCTTCCACTAAGTCTTCACATTGTGGACAAGATAGGGGGACAGGAAGAGAGAATTAGTGCCTTTCCAGGGCTCCTATGGGAGCCTGAAGTATGATATTAGTCTCTGGTTTTATTCTAGTGAAGTGATTTCTCTTATAAAAAGTTAAAAATCATCTAATTATTTTTATAGTAACTTTAAGAGATACTTTCAGGCCATACATGTTATACATGTATTCAGTTGACTTAGTAGATTTGTCATATATTCAGAGCTATGCAAGCATGTTATGGTTTAGGTGAAAAATGTCCCCCTCCTCCAAATTTCATGCATTTGGAGGCAGGGGCTGGTTGGAATAAATATGTCCCTGGAAGTGGGACCAGGAAGAGTGTATTCTTGACTCCAGCTTCTCCTCTTTCTTGCTCTGCTTCCAGGCTGCCATGGAATGAGAGCAGCTTTCCTCTGCTATAGTCTTCTACCACACCACTTCTACCTCGGGGCCAACCATATACTGAACCCACTACAACCATGAGCCAAAATAAATATCACCTCCTTTAGCAAGTATTTTGTCCCAGCAATAGGAAATTGACTAACACAGAGACTATAACCTCAATTAGTTTCAGAATATTTTCACTACCTTAAAAAGAAACCCATTCACACTAACAATCACCCACTATTTCCCTCCACACCCTAGTCCTAGACAACCACTAATCTAATTTCCTGCCTGTATCGATTTTCCTATTCTAGACATTTCATAGAAATAAGACCAAGTAATATATGGCCTTTTGTGGTTGTTTTCTTTCACTTAACAAACTTTGTTCAAGAGTTATCCATGTTGCAGTATGTGTAAGCAACTCGTTCCTTTTCAATGATAAATAATATTCCACTGTATAGATATACTACATTTTATCTTTTTATCATTTAATGGATGTTTCAGTTGTTTCAAAAGTAGTATTTATATTGAACTAAAATTTGCCTTAGAATATGAACTCAGCTGATGGAGACCACTGGAAAGTGGCTCTGAGCAGGACTTAAAAATAATCAATTGGCTGTCTGTGTTTACATATGAGTCTGTCCCTGCCTAGGCTCCTTGTCTGGAGATGGGCAGTGGACTCACAGTAAGTGAACCTCTATGAGTCACTGGTCCTGGCTGAGGCTTTTAGTGGCCTGTGAAGCCAAGATGCCTCAAAGGACAGGATAAGGCCACAGCTGAGGATGCCTGGCTCCAACCCCAATTAATTAGAGACTGTAACTGCAGGTGTCTCACTCCTGTAGTGAATGTCAACCTGGAGATAAGCTAGTCTCTTAATTAGCATAATTTACTATTAGGGAAGTCTTTGAAGTGGTTCCCAAGGTCCTGCTCAGTTCCCATGCTTTCTTCAGTGTCCCTGTCCTTTGTTTGAAAACCAAATAAATATGGGCCACCCAGAGAAGTGCTTTGTCTCAGCCCCCAGAGAATCTAAAATTCTGCTAGAGGGTTTTGATCCTTCTGGAGCACTAAAATCATAGCACCTGCCTCTTTTATTTAAGCCTTCACCATCCACTCATTTGAGAGGTTGCAGGCCTGATCATTCCATGATACTCGGCATTGGCCTTCTAGGTTAATCCGTATCAATCCTTTCTATGTGACAGCTATCGCAGTCATTGATGATTTAGTCATTTCCACATCCTCTTCACCACATTAATCATATTCCTCTGACAAACCTGAGTGTACTAAAATCACCCTAAAAATAAAATTGTCAGAGTAAAATATCAAAAGGACTAGCCTTTTATTTATAAATTTATACAATAGCTAATAATCAAATGGCAATCACCTTGAAAAGAAATCATACTATGAGACTATATCCAAAAGCCACAGCCTATTTTAATTTTTTGGTATTAATATGCTCTGAATAAAACAAAGGAGGACCCATTTACCCCAGTGAGCTTCCTCTGGGTGAGTAGAAAGCCTGGCTACAGTAATAATGCTATCACTCAAGAAGCCTTCATGAAGTGACCACAGAAATTTGCCCAGCTGTGTAAATGTGACCACATAATTATAGTTAGCTCAAGAAGGAGTTTCACAGAGGTATCTCTTTATTACAGGTGTCCAAGAGAAGGAAAAGAACAGAAAAGGATGGAGGGATAGAAAGCCCCATAACTTTCTTGTACTCCTTCCGTGATCATTCCAGCTATGTTATCTTTGTTTTGTGAGTTTGACCTCCCTCTAGAACACAGCCCATTTCCGCATGCCATTTATTTCCCACACAGGACTTGCCATTATCTCTACAAATAAGAATCTGCTAAATAAACACATTTGGAGGAGATGGATGGGGACGTAGACATGCATGCATGCATGGATAAGTGAATGGATAACTGGATGGATGAATGGGTGAGTGCATGGATAAATGGATGCATAAATAAGCAGGAGGATGGATGTGTGGGTTGGCTGGGTAAATGATTAGGTGTGTGGAAACTAGCTGGATCGATGGGTGGATGTATGTATGGATATATGGGTGGGTGGATGGATGAATGGATGGGTGGATGATGGATGGATAAGGGGTTAGACAGCTGTATGAGCAGATGGATGGATCAATGGTTGAAGGGAGGGAGAGAGAGAAGGGAGGTTAGAAACTCATGATTACAAACAGAATGCTGTCTTTAGGGGTTAATCAATATCCTGTACCTAGAAACAGCTGGTCTTGCCCTGAGTATAGCAAGCTTGGGAGGGCTTGCATCACCCTGCTTCTTTCAGTTGGCCATGAAATGCACCTCTTCCATGTGCCATATCTATACCAGCCATTGCAGCAGTGTGGGAGAACTGGGTTGCTTATCTTTATAATTAAAATAATGTGTCTCAGTCCATTAAAGCTGCTATAATATAATACAGTCCCATATATCAGAGGTGTATAAACAGAAATTTAGATCTCACAGGTCTGGAGGCTAGGAAAGTGCTACATAAAAGTGTGGAAGATTTGATATGTGATGAGAGCCATTTTCTGGTTCATGGACAGTTATCCACCTGCTATGTCAGCACATAATACAGTTGAAGGGCCAAGGAAGCTCCTTCAGATCTCTTCTATAAGGGCACTAATCCCATTCAGGAGGGCTCTGCTCTTACAACTATTCATTTCCCCAAGTCGTATCTCTTAATACCATCATGTCGGGGGGTGGAATTTCAATGTACAAATTTAGGGTGACAGAAGTATTCAGTCCACATGTGTAGAAGTCTCCAACTACAAATTCCCATCCGAATGTGAATTTCACAGGGCAGTGAAACTCTTATTTCTTTAGTGTGTTGGTTATGGAGAGAAAAGTAGCCCCTGCTCATCAGTAACAGAATGAAACATATCATATGCTTACAGGATGCTTTTGTACAAGTGAGGAAACTAAGGATGAAAGAAGAGAGCTAACTTTTTCAAGGTCACATGACTAGTTAGTAACTAAAGCCCAGGTCCCATGATTCCCACTTTCTCCCTCTCTAACCCTCACTAGATCATTTCTTAAAGGTCAACAGTCACTTGACATTGCCATTACCCTTGCACCACACCTTTCTGGCATCCCCTGCTGAGCACAGCTGAGTGCAGCGAGATCTCTTTTTCTTTCTCTGAGCCTGTTGGCTTAATAGTAGAAGCTCTTGGGTCCTTTTAAATTTATCTGAGCCATCTATGGGGTCCTTCAGTTTCTGGTCTGCCCAGTGGCTAATGAGCTGAGTTGTGCTGGTGCAAATGGGAGCCTTGGAGAGCCTCTGTGAAGCCAGTGACGTCTCAGATGACGCACGACCTCATCACAGTGCTTGGTGGGCTTTAAAAAGCTCTTTCAAATCACTCAGATTATTTCCCTTGGTATAGATCTGGCCCAAAATATCCAACAGCCCATTCCCAGTGCACTTTTCAAAGCCAAGATCTTCCTGGGAAACGCAGTGGCTGTTACATAACCAGGGCTGGGACCTCCCTGCCTTAGCAGATCCAATAACCCCTGTGTATTGGGCCAGGGAATAAAAGTTCATCAAAATTACCCCCTACTCAGGCCTGACACTATGGTTTTCAGAATTCTTAGAACTCAGATGCACCTCATTTTTGGCCCTGGAGGGAAGTAAGACATGGGTTTGGGAGTCAAAAGACCTGGGAGGTGGGACAATTTACCAGCCCGAGGCGTAGGATGGGTGACTCATCTAAGCTAATTCAGTTTTATAATAACAGCTAAGGCAAAAGCTGACATTGCAAGTAGCAAAGGAATCATTTCAATAAAACACACAAATATTAAACATTTTCCAACTTGGCTGTTGAGAAACATTAACAGCAAAAGGTGAGCAAATGGAGAAACCAAGGCACCAGGACTGTTAGGAATCAGTGTGGCAACCGAGTTTCCAGCCGGTTTCACCTTGTCCTGGTAAAGCCCGTATGCACTGCTACACGTTTCTTCTTATACCTCAGATGCTATAAAAATTCTCCTCAGAAT